GTAGAGACGGGGTTTCACCATGTTGACCAGGATGGTCTCGATCTCTTGACCTCGTGATCCACCCGCCTCAGCCTCCCACAGTGCTGGGATTACAGGCTTGAGCCACCGCGCCTGGCCCTTAGTGTCCTTATCTCTAAAGACATCGCTCTCCCAACCTTGCTGTGTGGAATAAATAAAAGTTCCCAAATAAGGCTGAAGTGCTTCGTAGATGTTAACCTGTTTCTCAGGCTCAGTGAATACACCCTCCTCCTTTCTCAGGTTTCCCACCGTTTTCGAGAACTCATGCAGCTCTTCCACACTGCGTGTGAGGCCAGCTCTGAGGATGAAGATGATGCGACCAGTACCAGCAATGCAGACCAGCTGTCTGACCATGGGGACCTTCTATCTGAAGAGGAGCTGGATGAATGAGACTCTGGGAATGCTTGGGTATCATCTACACAGGACCAAACCCAACAGGCACCCTGACACCGGGGAGGAGGGGAGCTGTACTCTCCTTGTATACCCCTTGCACCAGTTTACAAAGCTGGACAGCAGGAGCCCAGGACGAGGACAAAGGCTGGAGGTTGGAGTCAGGCCCAGGGATTGTGCCATCCTAGGCATCCTTCAAGGTCTTTTATGAAAACCTTAGGGATGTGCTCTGTAAATAGCATCGAGTGGAGCTCAGGTCCTTTCTCTACCTTTTCTTGGTCTGATGGCACATATTTATTGTTCTGTGGTCTAATCACAGGGTTTCTAAATGTAATAAGTACGTATGTTAGTGTAGCTAGTCTTGCGACACAGCTCCTCTGCACGAAGACACCTGCATCCAGCCGTTGTTATTGCAAGCTAGCACCTCCCCCACACTGGGAACTTGAGCCCACGAGGCTGTCAGTCACCGTCCTGGTAGCACTGGGCCAGGCTTCGCAGCTCCTGCAGCAGCTCTGCTACGTCATCGTGCTCCACTCCAGCATCCATGAAGCTGGCCCAGCGCCGCAAGTCGAGTTTGGTGAGGTCTCCGGCCAAGGCTTCCAGAGTCCGGTGCAGGGACGAAGAGGAACACAGTGCCCCAAACACTGGGATGCTCTCCACTGCTGTGGAGGGAGAGAAAAGCCAGACCTGTAGATGGATGATTATTCTACCCCAGGGCTCTGTCAAACTGATAAGGAAGTCCACCCTTGGTAGTCTTGATTGTAAACTCAATAAATTTTGTGTACTGCCCCCTTAGTACACCAGTACTCCAGAGGAAGAACACTTCTTGGGAGCCATAGGGTGAATAAAGGAATGGTTAACTGTGGACCTCTTAAGCACTTTTAATCCAGGGAAGGAGATAGTAAAAACTCTCCCATACTTGAAATCTGTTTTCTTCATCTCTCACATACCCGCTCCCTTCAGGGAACCATCTGGAACCATACCCGGTGGACTGCAGCTTGAGAAGAGGTGGGGGTAAGGAGGAACCACCCTGCAGGGAGTCAGCAGCAGATGGGAAGAACTGTGGGGCAGAGAACAGCCGTTAAGTGAAGTCAAGGGAGGGCTGAGGTTGGCAAGAAGGGCAGGAGCGAACTGTTACACTGACCTCATGACTCTAGGCTGCTGCTGCTGTAAATACTGGGCCAACACTTCCTCCCCAGTGGTACACGC